GCATAAATATTTGCAATAACGAACGTGTAATCCCCTTTGGACAACTCTAAAAGGATGTATCTACAATGTAAATCTTTGACATTTCTGCCAATATTCAGATCACTAGATTTGTTTATAAGAACGGCGGTGCCAGCCCTGTGGTTTGAACCATGACATAAAAACAACTCGTCTCCCCAATCAGATTTCCAAACTTTTTCGACACATTGACTTGAATAAGTTTCCTGTAGTAAAACAATATGTGCTTTTTGTTTACGTAAAAATTGAAATATTTCTTTCCGTTTATATTTTCCCTAATACCTCTAACATTTAAAGACACTATTTTGACCTATGACATAATACACACACAGAAAAAAACAAAAAGATCAACAGCAAAACAAAAAAAACAAAAAAGATTTAGCAAAACAACCGTAAACGATTGCAAACAAAATACAGTGTTGAATGGGCTTGTGGTAATACAAGATTATCAAAGTTGAAATCCGAATAATTTCAAATAAATTATATCAATCGTTGTTACTTGAAAAGATTAGTAAAACTCGCCTCAAATTCAGAATATTCTATTGATTTCACATCGGTTCCAGCATTGCTTGCAGCCATCTTGAAATAACAATGAACGATGAGATTGGCGCATTTGCTTAATCAGACAGCTATTTTGTGCAAGGCGCATTGAGTCAGATGTAGTTAGAGGCGACTGGAACCGATTTTCTAAGGACTGATTAACGGCAGGTAGAAGCAAAAAATCGACATGTATAAACAAAATTACGAATAAATATTATATAAAAAAATGGGGCCTCATATCTACATCGGATTTAAATCAGATCACAGCAAAAATATATTGTACTGCTATTGCCTCAAAATGGTCATGACAAAGAGTTATTGAGTCGCGTTCCAAATACCCATGTGTATCATCAAGCAAAATGTCAATTTTAGGACAGTCTTGACAACAATGCACGAGTGATGTAAAATTTGGACTAGCCAAAATATTCAGGAACGGCGACAATCACTACTTTTTGTACGTTGTTATTTTAACATTGTTATGTTTAAGTTTTTAATAAGACATAATGTTTTACATTGAGGGTGAATAAAATGGTAAAAATAAAGTAACTGGTAATAGTAGGGGAAATTATAAACTTTTATATACGTGTTTCCCCGTATCAATGCTGCATCTATTTTCACACTTCACTCCTTTCGTCAAACATGGTCAAAGTGGATTTTAAATTTGGGGAATGGTGTCATACATTGCTGCTTGACATAGTCCGGACGTTAGGGCGAAAGTGAGGCCTTTATTATTTTGGGGTCAAATGTTTTACTCCTACAAATTCTTCCAACTCTAGGCCAAATTGCTTAAACAAGAAATTTTGGCGTAGTTGCCAACATCTTTTGATTTTTGGAAAATCTGTACCTTGGCACCATCTCTCCAATGTTATTTTCATTTGGAGGAGATGATATTTCATGTCAAGAATGTTTTCAGCTTTTCAGTATGGCCCTGTGACAATCTTGTCAATTAGACCAAGTGCACGGATTTCAGCTAATATTGAAGAATTAAATTTACACAATGAAACAAATCTGACAGGTTTACCCAAGGCAAATACATATAATAGAACATCGGACTATTCATCTCCAAAAGGAAGTTCAAAATTGAACCCATGTATACCTGGGTTTCAAATAATGGGATATTTGTCAAATAATTCACTAGTGAAAGAGATGGGTGAAATATGGCACTATTCAAGTCATATATACCCGGGGTTAAATTATTCGATACATGTCACATAATTCACTGGTTAGAAAGTATATTTAATTAATAAAAAAAAATTTTACAAAATAATCGTTCAATGAAAGAACTAAATAATAAAACACTACAAGACAAATGAACATTGTATTTGTTAACTTTTCTAGTGTGTTGAAATTTTGACATAAAAAAAACAAATCAAATTTTAATCAATCTTTTTAATTGCTCGCATTGGAGGGGTGCAATGGGGGCTCTTTTTGGTGTGAACCGATTCTCAACCTTTTTTCATGTCTGTGGTCAAGAATTTGAAACCACTTGTTTAAATTCTCTGACCTCCATGGAAGAGGCCTGACAAACACAGACACTTCGACTTTCTTGCCTGGGAAATTGCAATGTCGTCATCATCACTAGATTCTGCTGCATCCGGCGATGAATCTCGGCCTTCAAAATCATTTTCAAAAACTGCTGATCACTTGCAGAAATTGATGAGCTGCCCTGCAATGCAGCCTTCTTCCTGCTCAGCTTCTGTAAAAAAAAGATCATTTATCAGTTAAGTTTGTCCATACCGCATTATGTATTGTAACAATGTCATCACAGTTGCATTACCATGTTGCCCAAAGGTAACTGGAAAATGTCTTTGTATACTAGAATATCTCTATGAGTTCAAGGAAAATTCAACTAAGATGGACAAACAATTTGATTGCCCACAATAGTGCTACACATCATGCATAGGCAAAACTGTGATCTAATATCCTGTGGAGAACACATCCAACTTAGAATCAAAGAGAATGTAAAAAGTTGCTGGTTGCTGAAGGTAGAAGGTGTGAAATAGATATAGAAAATATTCACAAAAATATGAAACAAGCCGGTAGGCTGGTTGGCGATCCACTCCGCTCAAAAACAAGCACCATGTTTTTGGCTGTTTCCATGGTGTGACATAAACGTGAAGCTAACGTCGGTTTATAACTAATACGAAGTTCGCAAACACCATTCAGTTTTTGGAAGTCACTTAGTTTATTACTAGGACCACATTCACTCTCCTAGTCGAGTGACTGTGCTAGGACGTATTCTGCTGTTACATTTATTATTTCCAACCGTTTTGCGATAGCATTTTCTAGAATGAAGCGTTTCCTGTAAATGCTGGAAAGCGAAATAACGAGATGGTAAATATTTACCTATTAAAGTACAGTGTGTTGACCTTCATAATAATATACTTCATAATGCAAAACATTAGTCACGGTGAGTTATTTAAATATACGACTCCTAATCGAAAAATATGACCACAGTCCAGAATTTCAGACATATATTAAGAAACCTAAGAGCATATCAAAAGCATTTACTCTAAAATATAAAAAAGGACTGCAGTCAAAAGTCAAGAATGCCAGCAAATAAAGGACTCTGCCCCACAATCCTTTGTGCGCGTTATTACGGACACGCGCAAAAAAACTGTACCACGCTTGTCAAATCTGGGTCAAATATACAGTACGCTA